CTCATTTGCGAAGAGTTCATCAAAATGAAAATTTTATGAGAGGAAAATTTTATTAGTCTACTCTTTTTTTCTTTTCTTTTTTTTTTTTTATGTCATCTAGTAAAGGAGGATAGTTTATTATTTCAAAGTTAAAAAAGTGAAAAGCTCGACAGATCTCGTGATGCAATCAAATTTAACTTTATAATCGTTGTTCAGAAAAATTTTTTTGTCGACTTATCGAGTTTTTCTCCTTCTCCTAGTCGTTAATTATCTTCAAGCAAAATCTTCATTCGGACGAAAAAGGTCTCTTGGTTAAGTACCATTTTATGTTGGCCCTTTTTTCTTTTTTTTTTAGTACGATGATTAAGTTTATTAAGGTGGAACTTTGGACAACTGAAAAAGAATTTTAACGAGAATATGATAATTTCGCGAAAGAAACGAAAGTTTGATCGTGAAATTAAATATTTGAGGAAATAACAGATTCTTCGATCACAAAATTAAATATGATAAAGAAGAGAAGAATTGCTGTGAATCAAAATATGCGAGTATTTATGTCGCGATATGTATATGAATATTTAATGAATATTTAATGTAACGAGATACACGCGTGTGTTGCCACGTATGTTGAAAAAAATAACTCTAAAAATCTTGTTAACAGAATAAATGTGGAATAAATTGAGTTTTAAAGAAAATCCGAAAAATCTTCTTTAAGAAAGTTTACTTTACATTTTCTAACGTACGTATTTTCTGAACGAGGTTCTCCAAGTAGTATCACACTCCACTTCAAACGATAAACAACGATTAAAGGAATCAAAAGAGATTGTACCTCGCAAAGGATTTCTCTATAAATATTTTAGAGAAACCAAGAATACTTATATAAATGAATGAGCATTTCTTTCATTTCAAACGTACAAATAAAAAGGTTACAATAAACAGAAAATTTCTAAACAAATAGGATCTCTTATACTCTCTTACACTTGTACATTCAAACGTTACACGTCGAATAAATAACCAATTGAAAATAAATCAAATATTTTTAACTTTGTCAAATTTCAATTTTAATCGGTAAATTCGATAAATTGATATGAAACCCAATTAGAAATAATGACTGTCGAGAAAAGCATCGATGTTATTTACAAGCAATCTCGATACACTATTAACGTTCCTATTTTATGGAAATATATACGAGTAACTGAAAATATTTCCAATTCGATGTACAGTTTTAATACGTTGAAATAAAATGATATCGCAGAGCAAGCAGACTTTTCCAATTATTCGGAAAATTTATCATCGAAGATCGATATTTTTTACTCAACATTTCCAATTACCCCCAACTAAATTATCCATTAAAATTTATGTATATTTTCTTTATTTCAAAAATTTCATTAAAAAAAAAAAATAAAATTTATACCCCATTTGTTTCCAAAATTAATTATCTAAATATCTGTAGTTCACTTTCGACGAAGAAAAACAAAAATTTTCATTATCTCGCGGAAAATAAAAGAAGAAGACGAAAAGAAAAGTATCTGAGATGATATCATTGACGCTAAAAGGCCCGACAATAGAGTAAATCACGTTTCGAATGACGTTTCTTAAAAACAAACGATGAAAAGAAATCATCGAAAAAATTAAAATAATAGCGAAACATTAATAACCCTGATTAACCCCACCATCGCCACGTATAAACCAATAAGATCTTCAAACGGCTATTTTTCTTTCTTAGTCGTCCCCCTAGTCAACCCTCTCCATGGCAACCCTTCTCTCTCCTCGAGTAAATCGAGTCGATTGTATATAAAGGGGTTTTTTTTATCTCGGGAATGAAAATTATTAACTGCGTGAGAAAATGGGACGAGAGCCGAAAATGGGGATTTAAATCTTGGAAAAAATGTTTCTTTGGAAAATTACTTTCAAGATAAAATAGCGCGAGTCTTGTCTTTTAACGCTGATAAAAAAGGAAAGTTCCTCGAACGATCATTCCAATTAAATTTATCTTGACATTCCTGGATTTTATTGATTGAAGATCTGCTCGATCAAAAACATCGAAAAACTTGAAACTACGAATCAGAAGAGTTAATAAAATTTTGTCTTTTTGCAAATGGACGAGAGAATTGCAATCGTTTTATCTTTCAATTCGCGTTTTACGTTTATAAAAAAATCTAAGAAAAATTTCGTACAACTTTTTAACATCTTTAGAATATCATAATTATAATTATACTACGCGGTATTTTCTTTTTTCTTTTTTTTTTTTTTTTTTTT